GAAATATAGCATCAGCAGTTCACCATAAAGTATAAACTAAAAAATTCTACAAACATTTATTTTTTTATGCTTTATATTCACAACCTCTTGAATTATTGGGAGGTGTATCGTGTATGATTAAGAATTTCTTTTCAGAGACATGCCAGGTTGCCTGACTAGGTCAAAAGACTGTACTGCAAACGATGTCCACCAATTTAATATAAGAAAAGGAAAAATATTTAATTTAAAAATGATAATAATATCCGTAATAGTAGAGAAGTGTTCAAAACCTACTCTAATCTAATGTTTATTAGATTCGGTCGCATATGACATACATGAATAAACTTGCATTCAAGTTATTCAAGTGTAGTGATATTATAAATACCTATATTGATCATTATAATTTATTGGCCAACATGTTTCAGGTCAATAGGAAAATAGTCTTAGAAATAAATAAAAGACAAAACTATCAAATCTCACTCTGCAATATTAAAACAGGAAATCAAAATGTGAAATTAAATTTATTAAAGGTATAAAAGTCATTAACATTATATTTTTTATTGACAGAGGAGGTAAGTGTTCATATGGATTATGATTATATAGTCAAGTAAAGCACATTGATGGTGTGGTTGTGTACAGTCCTGAGTCCACAACATTGTTAATGGAGCTGCCTATTTGATTGCACAATAGAAATTCTATTTAATAGAAGAGGTAAGAGGTTAGTTAAAATTAAGTGTTAACTAATCTAAACTCTTAACGAGTGATGTACATTTTAGACATTTAAGATTTAACATTCAAGAAATTTCTCAAATTTAAAAATTAAATTTTATTTTTTAATAGAACTTACCTTTTTACTTAAGGTGTGTAAAATTTTTAAATATTTATTGAATTCTGAATTATATTTCATAACATTAAAAATATACCGTACAAATCGTGTTAATTTAAATATTTTGTTTTTTATCACAATTCATAAGTACAGAGGTACCTACCTAATTAATTTACCTATTATTATACCTACTTACCTAATGATAATATTCATACTTCATATTTGAACGGTAGTATAACATAAGCAGTATTGCTATTTTATCACAACAAAATTAATGTTTAAAAAATATATAACATTACCCCTTTTATCTTGGAAATTTCCGTAGGTCAGAAATTTCTTACTTACATCATTACCCTAATTTATTGATAAATTAAAAATAAACAATCTGTCTAAATATGTTTTTATAAAAGAAGTCAACTATGAATAATACAATTAATGTTTAAATAGTTATTTCAAATTTTAAATTACCTACTAATAGGTATAATATTGACTTGTTTATATTATTAAGAAAAAATTCAATTTAAAAAAGTTTTGATAAAAAAAAAATTGTATAGTCATGCTTAAAAATATTCGAACTGTTCTGAGCTTAAAGGTTGAAAATTCAATAGTTCAAAACTATGTCATTAATAAATGAATAACAAAGTAAGATACATTGTGTAAAATACTAATATATAAATACTTACAAAAATTAACAAACTATCAAAAAAAAAAAAATATTTTTAAATGTATTTAATAAATATAATATAAATATATAATATATAAATATTAGTGTCCGTGTCCGTAATAGGAGTCCGTTAAAATGTTATAGACAGGTCAAAATACATTAGAATGCCTATCTTTTTGCTGGGACTTGGTCATTTTGTCCGTTAATAGGGGTGCCCGTTAAGTCAGGTTTAACTGTATATCTATAATATTATTTTATTCACTATTCAGTATTGCCGTATGCCCGTATAATGTACCCATAGGTAATATAATTATGTATGATAAATAATAATAATATAAATATATAATACATATTGTAAGTTAAGGTTTCTTTTACCAAAATGAAATATTTGATAATAAAAAGATAAAAAATATTTTTAAGGTACATACAAATGTTATTAGTACGTATACCCATAAATATATTTACTAATACACCACTGCACATCTGCATGTACCACGGGGATACGCCAAACCAAAGCTATTCCGAGCTCAAGTACAATTATAGTGCACCTGTTTAAATGTGGTTTAAAATCGTACATTATTGTGTCATCACTCATCATGTACGAAAGGCACGAAACCACGTACCTATTGAGACGCGTGCTATTATAGTGCGGGTCAACTACCTATTACCCACACATACCTGAACATTCGAAATTCCCAGGTTTGGGACCTGCGACGACAAGAGAGAATGAGACATCGAAAGCGATGATAACCCCTCAAGGTAAAACCAGAGTGATGAATGTGACTTCTAAACAATCGAACTCATCTATTGTTTTTTAACTCAAGCTAACCTAACCTTTGAACACGTAAAAGAAATCGGTTGAGTCAATCTTTATAGAAACTTGAAACATAGATGGAAAATTAATACGTGATTAATCTTTCTGTAAATGAAGATTTTTACCGGACTTACAATTTAAAATTGTAGATATAAGGTTTTGATTGAAAAAAATCGGTGTTTTACATGAGAATAAAGTTAATTCTACATTTCAAGTATAATCATTAGGTAATCGCTCCTAACAAAATGTTATTGACCAATGATTTTTTTTAGATTTTTTCAATGTCACCAATCATTATGCATTTATGCATGCATTTGGGTAAGGTATTATTACTAAATAACAAATGTTTAGTGCTAAGAATCAAAAAAAATAAATATTTACTTCATAGTACAATAAAAAATAGTATTTTTTAAACGCTATTACTTATAATTGGTTTCAAATAGAATATTAGGTATCCTAAGTGGCATCCTACGCCTACTAATATAGTAAGTGTATAGGTATTAAATAATGCGTGAACCACACACTGTCCGGTTACAGCTGCATCGGTAAAAAACCGCCTAGTTCGACCGCATCATGCTGCTGTCCACGACAGCCGCAGCGGTTATTTTAGAATAGTGTATTCGGTCTAATTCAAAACGATCGGTATTTCAATCCGGTGTGTACTAGTTGCGGTCATAATCAAAAATTACATACTAGTTGCGGTCACCCCTCAAAAAGGTTACATACTAGTTGCGGTCATCCATCAAAAAGGTTACATACTAGTTGCGGTCATTCAAATAATAATAACTAAGTATACTAAAATAATATAATAAAATATAGTTTATATGATAATTAAATATGAAATTAATATTTCGTTTATTTATTGAATTTAGAAAAATGTATTAATCAACATTTTCCTTCCCATTTATATCGAAAAGATAAAAGACTTAGGACTGTCTACACTATTATTTTTTGTGTAGTTATGGTTAAAAATGTTGATACCTACTTATGTTTATATTACGTGGTTAAACTTGTGTCAAAATATAGTATATAATAGTAAACTTGTGTCAAAATATAATATATAATAGTATAATAATAATTTAAAATTTTAAAATTTTGTAGGTATAAATTTAAAGGAAATTTTATTTATAAACTTTACAGATAAGTAGTGGTGTTCCCACATATATACACTGTGTGCATTATATACAACTATGATAAGCTATGACCGCAACTAAGATATTACCTAAATTGGTGTGACCGCAACTGTTATATCTGTTTATCTCAAAAATCGTCATGACCGCAACCAGTATGCAGCCTTTCAATCGAACCGGACAACCGGATGATTTCTACCTCTGCGGTTGGATTCTGTGCAAAACCGGACAGTAACTGGACAGTGTCTTCCCAGCCTTATGAACTACCTATTATTTATTTCCATATTAATTAATAATTAACTTAAGTAAGTTCATATTGGATATTGGAATCCGAGTTAAATTAAATGTTCTGGACAAACAGTCTGCATGGACTTCATTACATTAATTGTAATTCATATTAATATTATTAATTAGATAATATTCGTAGCATTTTACAGTTCTGAGCGGACGAAAAATATCACGATTTAAATCCAAAAGTACAAATGTTTACAGCGTAGAAGGCTGCATAAAATATTATGTACAATAGTCAATATGTCTCTTTAGCTGATTATCTATGGTCCAGGTGGACATTGTGCTGTGTCGCGGCCGTCAGATTAGTGATTACAATATCACAACAAAAACAATTCGTCGAACTAAGCATTAAAAACGGTTTAATAAAAAAAAAACAGATCTTTAAGCACTATAAAGATGTGATATCATAAATACGAGTAAATGCTAGGTAAATTGAAATAATTGAATAGTACTTTACACTTATTTTGTTTCAATAATTTATTTACTTGTCGAGGAATTACATACTTTATATGAAGTGGCACACGGAGTAACTTGAATAAAATAAACAAAAGGCGTTAGATGTTCATTATAGTTTAAAATATTTAAATAGACATATCTACTCAGAATAATTTCACTCCGAGTAAATCAATTATTATTTATTAAACAAAATAAGTGTTCATCAATTCAATTTACTTAGCATTTATTTATTTACAGTTTATTGGAGAACTCTTTTATCATTATGTTTATTTTTTTATTCAGAAAGTACTTTTCTTTATTTTTCATTCTTTTTTTGTAAGCTTTGGCTGGCATATTTATAAGTCCGAACACGGTAATAAGTAATAACATACTGTCTAATATACAATAGACTAATTTATATATTATAATTTATAAAATTAATTTAATTTAATTTAATAAGCGATAATCGTAATAATCGATAAACGAAACAAATAATAAATACTCGAATGTGAGATAGCAATAATTTTGTGCTGCGTACACGAAATGAAGTGGAGGAACAGGTCGGCACAACAACGCGAGACGTGGCCGCCGTGATTTCAGATTTCATTATAATTTCTCATTAAAATTTTTGCACGTTTCCTTTAATAACTTGATTTCTAACGTCACGATTTCGATGATTTTTGCAGAGAATGAATTATCTGCGAAAATCTTCTAATTTAGCCAATTTATTGGGTGTGAATTGATTCAGTAGATAATTAGTCATGTCGGGTCGAAAAAAAAACACCAAAATGTACACTGTTTAAATGGGCAACACCTGCTCGAGATAATATACACTTTCGTGCCGCCGCAATATTTTATTTACTCAGCTCTCACCACGACTGTGGCGCTGGATTGTTTACAATCTTACAAAGCAAATCAATTTCCGACGACGAGTGTGCCACATCTCTTGCGCCAGTGCAGTGTAACTACACCGCAGGTCATTGTTTCCCCGGACGGGTGAGCCACATTCACGCCATCTAGGTATGAATAAATAACCATAACAATATTCTATTCATTTCGATCAAGTAATTATTAATTTATTAAAACAATATTACGAAATGTAATATTGTTGATTAGCAAGTGTTCACTATTGGAATATGTAAGGTCTATAAACAAATTCGACACGATTTACTTTTTTATCGTATGTTGAATTATTGTTGGCGCTCGAGACCGAAATATTTTATACTGAAAGTGGGTGGAGTAGCATGGAACAAACATTTTGGTAACCATTTATTAGCCACCACCATCCCGCCGTCTATATCGTCCACTGACAATTCGCCATCTTTTTTAACTGAAAATAAGGAACATAGTACGCTGTATGGTTTTAGGTTAGGTTTGCTTAATACCTGCAACCACTTAACTACCACGATTGTACTACGTAGATTGCTTTGAAGTCGGTAGGACAGTTTAAGTTCTAAAGTAAACGGTGTTTAAACTCCATCTTGACATTGCGTCATTTGGGTATTTGACAGCAGTACAGCAACACTGAAGCAATGGGTCGTACTGGTCGAAGAAAAAATCTTCGTAATCGGAAAGAGGCAGCTGCACAACGTAACACGGATGAAAGAACTAGTAAAACGACAAATCGTGGTTTAGAAACTAGAACACAAAAAAATCAATCTGAAACAAGTGAAACGACAGATAGAAGTCTTCGAATGCAGAAACGGGCAACTACACAAAAAAACACGGATGATGGAACTAGTGAAACGACAAATCGTGGTTTAGAAACTAAACCACAAAAAAATCAATCCGAAACTAGTGAAACGGCAGATAAAAGTCTTCGAATGCAGAAACGGGCAACTACACAAAAAAACACGGATGATGGAACTAGTGAAACGACAAATCGTGGTTTTGAAACTGAATCTCGAAAAAATCAACCTGGAACTAGTGCAACGACAGATGATGGTTTGGAAACTCAAATACTGAACCAACCACCTGGTATTGGTACAATTATGAAATATGGTGCTGTAAGATGTGATCCAGTGAGCGGAAAAGATATAATACAGTTTCAATGGACCGCACAAGGTCAATTGGCAATATTAATGGCTATGGCTGGGATCAGCCCTTACGGTTAGTTTTACAAATTATCGTATCTATGGCATGTAATGACGTTAAGTAAATACCTAGACAGCAGAAATAAATTTAACAGCTATTATTTTCTTAATTAAATATATTGAGTAATATTAAGTTATGAAACCAAAAAAATAAAAATCTCGTTTTAATGTTTTATAAATAATTTTTAGTCATAATAATCAGAGTAATAATCTTAAAAGAGCTTATTAGACCTGTTGGAATAATACAATGTGTGACTAATTGTTTTGTTTTATATTTCAACCTTTTATGGGTAAGTTACAAACTGCTAACTATAGGTATTACTAATTTTGATTAGTATGTGTTAATACTTTCGATGAAATAATTAGAATGATATATTTGCATTTTAGGAGTGCATAAGCATATGGATGTGTATATTATTAAAACGCGCCTTAAAAAAGTCCTCAACCTTGATATACCTATTAACACAATTTGGACTTATCTTGAATATTTGTATGATTTGAAGCAAGCTGTAAGTGTGGTAAAGATAACAATTGTATATTTATTTATATTCACTACTTTTATTTTATCATAGGACGCAATAGAACCTGTGGATAAGGTTTTTTCTGAAGATAAGGACTTTGAATTACCTCAAACAGAGGAGTGGAGACAATTAATTGAGGAACAAAGAGCCTTAATACAAAAAGGGGATAATAAAAATACAGGTATGCCAAATTAACTTTGTCTTACTTTAGAAATATGTAAAAAATATATTTTCCACTTAACGGCTTAAACTATTTTAAATAACAACATATTGTTATTTAAAATGTTTTTAAAAAAATGTCATTTTTTTTTTGACAACCGTTGATACATTAATATTGCGTTGGTTAAACATGTTAGTCAATAATTGACTTAACATAATACCAAGTTATAAAATGCAGACATACCATTTAAATAGTTATAGTTAATCATGTTATATATTTCACATTAAATAATCTATTATTATTAATTGTGTTACATAATAGAACAAATGCAATATTGATTAATAATACCCAATCCATGTGCCCTGGGCCATTAAGTTGAGACAATTGTACTTTAAACTTATAAGTACCTATATAATTAAATTATAAAGTAATAGGTAAAATAGGTAATGGGTTTAAATATATTTACAGTTATAAAATTAAGTGTTACTTTATTAATACTTAATTTAGTTATTTTGTTATATATTTTAAATATTGCGTTTAAAACTAGTTTTGTTATGTAACCGAAGGCCTAAATTATTTTTATATATGCAAAAGTAGTGAGATATAAATCAATCATATACTCTGTTCAGCGAGAGAATAAAATATGCTTTTTTCTAACAAAAATCGGATCTTTTGCTCATCCTCATGCAACATCCAGGGTTAGATCAAGTCTTAGGGGCGTGCTCAGAATCGACACGTTTTCTTGCTGGACAGGGCATATAGACTATTTGAAATAAATCTATGTTAAATTAGTGATCTACTTCAGCCAAATATAGAACAGTTAAAATTAAATAAAAGTACAGCATTTAAAATGTATAATACTGTTATTATTTATTTATATAACATTAAATAATTAAGTTATTTATAAAAGCGGTTTTTTTTCACATTACTATATTGTACAATAAATAAAAAAAGTATGCAATTGCTATACGATCCGAATCTTGCTTGTTATGCTAACTTATGTACTCAAGTATGAACAATAAGAGTATTCATATATATTTTAATTATTAACCATTTGTTTTTGTATTATCTGACCTTTGTTAGGAAGGTAATTAAATCACACTTTTTATTTGTATAATTATATTTTTTATGAATCATGTATTATCTGATTTACTGCTCAGAGCATTACAATTATCTACACTGTTTATATATTATCTTGATTCAATTTAGATGGAACTTTGATGGATCCTGGAACATCTGGGTTGTGAAGTTTTTACTGGAAGTTACAGTTGCAACATAAACAATTAAGAAAATAATTTTAAACCCTAAATTAAATCAGATGTAAACTACAATATTACTTAGAATTATTTATTTCAGATAAATCCATTGCAAGTGCCAAAATATATTAGTTTCTGTTAGATTTAAGATAATTTTAGTGCACCATTTGTCTCCTCTCTCTAACCCACGTGCATCATTGTAAATTAATGTTTAGTGGAACCAACCATGTGTTATATATTAAGAGGACTGCAAACGGACAATTATTTCAACTAAAATGTACTAATCTTTTGTCAATCTTATGGGCTTGTTCACGCGATGAGACTTCTGAAAACTGATTTAAATTCTTTAATATGTATACTTGAGATTGATCAGACCACTTTTTTTTTTAAATTTTGTTCTTTAATTATTATACATTTTGTTTGAATATTTAAAATGTATGAAATTTTTGATGTTGACTATTTAAAAATTAAATTAAATATCATACTATGTGGCCTGATTTTTCTCAAGTATACATATTTACAAATTTAAATCAGTTTTCAGAATTTACATCTCGCTATCAGGTTCATTGGTAGGATTGACAAAAGTACATGCAAATGGGCACACATTGTTTATAGTGCATGTGCACGGCACTGAGGCGGTGACTTGTACATGATAGAGCTCCTATTTTTTATTTAAATATTGTCACTCACTAATGACCACTTACTACTCACACATTTACACGACCCGCATCCATACAATTTAAAAATTGCTTGTTTTGAAAACTAAAAATCTAGCCTTAAAAACTGTCCATTTGCAATATCCTCAGCCTTGTACTTTTAATATCAGAATGAATTTGCCTATTATCAAATTTTAAGAAAAAAAATATTATCGGTACTGCTACATTGGATTTTTATGATAATGTAATTTTATTATTATGCAATTTCAAAATTAAAATATCATAAAATAACCAACGTAGCAACACTAGCAACGCAGGTAATGTCAATGATGTAAGGTTTTTAACTTAGTTTGATAATAGGTGATATTATAATGATAAATATTATAAAGTATTGTCATTTATTTTTTAATAATATAATCAACAAAAACTATATGATGAAACATTGAAAATTATTATAAATATAATCATAATGCTTAGGTGATTTATAATTTATGTATTCAAATGTAGGTAATATTTAATTTAAGTATAATATTGTAGAAGTTTTTTTTATAATTTTTTATTTGGTACTTTATTAATTGTAGATATAAGCTTAATTTTAGAATTTTACTTAGTTCAAATAGCATTTTACAAGAACAAAAAAAGAAGTTGTTGGAGATTCTTAAAATATGATTTATGGTTATTAAATTGTATTGAAAGTATGGGGGGGGGGGGCAGATGATAACTTACCCGAAAATGAACTCCCCTGATTTTAATGTAATACATTTTGGTTTAAAAATATTTTCATTCTTTCCCAAATTTTTAATTTTATTATAAGTTCTCAGAAAATTATTTTTTAGAGAAATTAAAATTTGAAAGAATTGATCTCTAGAAGACTGTTAAAGTGACAAATTCTATTCTGTTTTAAAAAAAAAATTATTATCACCTTACCAAGTTAGAAATATATTATGCTGTGTCCAGTAGTGTACAACTACAGGTTCTGAATGCATCTACATATACTTATAATGTAATATTTTCAGAGATATATAGTTGATACATATAATGTAGCACATAATATGTTTGAACTATGTCACTCAATGTCCTATTGTCCACTGAACCCTACACTCATTTTTTAAAGGTTTTCCTTACATTTCTTAATATATTTTAATTGTAAAAATGTCTGATAATTTTATGTATTTTGTTCAATTATATGTTTTCCGAGCAATATATTTTTTAACAGTACCTATTGTTAAGTCTTCAGTACCTAATTTCTATACAAAAAAATGTTCATAGAATAATTTTTTTGTATTAAGTACTTAAATTTAAATTTTGTTAGCATATTTAAATGGTATGTCTGTAACCAAGTAAGTGAAATAAACTTGTAAAGTTATGAATTCAGTGGAATCTCGATAGTTAGAAATAATTTCTCTTAAATTTTGAATTATTCATGTTCAGCTGTATCTCAATTCCTCAGATATACATATCGTGTATTATTATGTTACATTACTTAATTTATTTAGGAAGCGACTGGATTATTTTTATATTCATATTTATGTTTTTTCGTACAATAAATATAAAATAAGTACTAATCCTCTATTGATGTAAAAGATTTTAGAATTGTTTATTAATTTGGTTTAATAATGTATATTATTAAGATGCTATAAAGCAAGCAAGTCAAGCTGCAATCAGTAAGCTGGATTTAAAAACATTAAAATCTGTTAAGATAATGGTTGAAAAATTAGACAGTTATCATAGTATTCTAATGAATTACTCAAAATCAAATAAATAAATTCAACTGAGAGAAAAATTTGGAAAATTCTTATTGGTTTTCATAGAAAGTTCTTCTTCAAATGTTAGTACCTATTTGTATTAAGAGAAAATATTCTAAAACAATTGATCAAGTAGCAAACAATATTTTATATGAATACAATATTAAAGGTAATTTTTCTGACCTCTACTGATTCAATGAAAAAATAAAAATTAAAAAAATTTTTAAGAAGTAAAAACTGAGAACTGGTATACCAAATGTAGATTTAAAATAATCCATAGCAAGCTATTCACACCACTTTTACACTGAAGCTGGCTCCTTCTCCTGAGGTAACTATATGGTACTTCAATTCTATTCTTTCTTACATTAAAATACCTTGGATCTAGATAAAAGGTTAACACGGGTCCACAGTATTGGAGAAAAATACCATCACCAAACAATCGTTTTCATATCCTCAAACCTCTTATCTCTAATAAACACACCTCTCCTAATTCCAAATTTCTCGTCTACAAAACATAACTGAAACCAATCTGGTCATACGGTATCCAACTATGCTGAAATGCAAAAAAAAAACAAACTTCAATAAAATTTAATCTTTTCAAAACAATGCGCTATTCATAACATGAATGAAAACCAAAAGGCTATTGGAATTTTTCCTACATAAAGTACATCAAACTTAGAGCAATGAAGTGTTTTTTATTTACCGTGTTATATGAAATAAAAGAAAACCATTAATTAATCCTGGAAAAAATTTGTAGAATGCCCATAAGCTATATTTTACTAAAAGTAGATTGCATGGTATTTAATAATCAAATAAGTAATACATTTTTTTAAATGGAATATTAATTTGGTGAAGTAACAATTTTCTATCAATATATGTTACTTCAGATTAAAATCAAAAGCAATGGGGTGCTAGGGGGGCTTAAGCACCCCCATGTTCCATGTTGTAATATAAAATACCTATGTATAGTTTTAATAATGTAATTTTATTTTTAAGAATTCATTATTATTATTTTTATTTATCTTGCATTCTGACTTTATTATATTATTATTGTATTATAACCTTAAATTACAAAATATCAATTTGTAATTTTTGTAATTGTTTTAAAAGATTTGTCATGATTATAGACATACTCAGTACAATACACGGATTAATCCGTGGTACAATACTATAGTCCAAATTGGCTACATTAGGCAAGACCGAAATTATTATTAATAGTGTCAGTGTCACTAAGTACCTAATTTCAAAATATGAAAATAGAAAAGTCTGAACTATGGTTAAAAATTGTACAGTTTTATGACAAATTATATATTATTAGACTTTTCGCATTTAGGTTACTGATACTACAAAACAAAATATTTAAAAATACAATGTTTTAAAGTGTCAAAACAAAAAAGAGCTCAATAAATAAATTAACTTCCTTTGGGAGACTACTACTAGGCCTATCTAAAGAGTAATGACTTCTTCTAGATGAAATATTGTACAAATTTGCTACAATCTGTAGGAAAATTAAGTTTTTACAATTTTAATTTTAATACGATAAACAAATTAAAACTGCTTAATTTGGGTCCTTAATTTGTTTTTTAATAATGGTATTGTGAATAATAGTATAATCTGAATGTTTGATCGTATTAAACTGTAGGTAATATAAAATATAATATTGATTGCATACTCCTATTGACTATTGCAGTTTGCTTACTTATTTTTATTTGTTATTCCTTTCCAATTTCTATTTTGAACAATAATTTTTTGTTTTTTGATATATTTATTGTTTTGCTACAAATTAAGTGTAAGGTGCAGATCGAAAAATCCTAATATAGAATATAGGTTTGCTTTGAAATAATGACAAATAGGTTATGCTATGTTTAGCTATAAAAATGATTTAATCATTTATAAAAATAAATATTTTATTTATGTAAATTATCTATTAACCTTAAAATCTTTTAAAAAAAATTATCAATATATATTTAAAATTACATTTATGTACCCAAGTAAATAATAATTAATATACTACATGTACTATTAAGTTAATAGTATTAACCAGTCAATGTTAATTTGATATATCTGATCAAATCAATTATTGTTATTGTTTTAAATACTAGCCAAGACTTATTAATTGCATATAGCATTGAATGAAAAGTAAAGCACTTTTAGTTTCAAAAATATTATAACTCAAATAGTCAATAGGTACCTATTGCATTTTTATTAAACCATAAAATAATACGATATTAGTTAAATTAATTGCTGGTTAGTAAATAATGAAGAACAACGGAAAGATATAATAAAATAAAATATGTTATAATGGAAAATTAACTGAATATCATCAATCAAGATAAGTACTTAATTTATGATTTTATTTTAATCTAATCAACTTACCTATTAGTAGTTATTATGAACCTACTTATTCACATCATTTTATAATAGATTCAATGGTGGCCGTCGGTAGGTATATCAATATTGACATACCTAATATAATTATTTTATAAATAATACCTAAGTAATAACAATAATTTGAATAATATATATGAAATGAATATATTGTATTATTGTGACATTAAATAATATACTTATACCACAGAATAAATGAAATTTCATTTATTCTGTGCTAATAAAGTACAGTACGTGTTTTTAATAAAAATTAGTTGCTACTATACAGGGGAGAATCATGTATGTACAATGACTTGGTTTTATTTATTATTTAACTTTCCTTTTACAAGTTCAAGTGTTGAAGTGTGTTTGTTTCTAGTGAATAGTAGTGTTGATCAGTGAACAATTTGAATTGTTATCACCAGTTAAATACAACCAATCAGAGCTCTCGATTTGGCTATGAGTCTGTAGCCATAGATA